CTAGTGAATTTTTAATATTGTTAATTTGGGACAATGCTAAATCTAGCAAGCCTTCAATAAAGTCATGCTGGGCTAGTGGAAGTAAAACATTTGATTGTTCATCTGTTGACCACGATGTTCCCGAAATATTAAAATCTCCTAGAACTAAAAGTTGGTCTCTATCGGTCAGTTTGTTGGACACTGACTGTATGGCAAAAAGATTATTTAGGTAGTCTGGAAATTCAGATGCAGGCGGTATATACGAGCAGGTGATATATATAAAACTACCGGGAAACGACAGCCTTACACATATGAACTCTATATTATAGAATTCTTCAAATGTGACCACTTCTGACGTGAGAGTTGAGTTCACGGCAATTAAAACACCACCGCCTCGTCTGGATGGACGGTCATGCCTATAGGTGGTGTACTTACCAGGAAAAATTTCGGAGTTTAAGATCTCCTTTTTTAGCCAGGTCTCTGTAAATACAATAATATGGGAAGCAAAAGAAAGACTATTCGAATACAATTTAGGTAGCTTACTGCGCAAGCCTCTCGAATTCTGATAGGAAAGAAATAAGCTAGTTTTTAGTTTTTTGAAGACGAAGATAGGGTAGAAGATGAAGATAAAGATGCCGCACTACTCTGGCCTTGATTGGGGAGTCTAGTCTGCAAGGGTCTTTTTCTTTTATTTGAATTCCTAGTTTCGAACTCCTTTACCACCATAAGATCTGGCCAGAAAGCTTCTGAGCAAATGGTTGAAAGGAGATCGTTCGGAACAAAGATCTTAAAAGATGAGGTGTCCCTCGCATAAGTGAAATTAAACTTTTCCACTTTAATGTTTTTGGCATTTGTTTTGTGCTGTATATAGTCCAACACCTCGGATGCCGTTTGGTCAGGCGAAAGACGAGAAATAAATATTTTTTTTTGGGTTGAACCACTGAAAGAGGTTTTGGTACTGCGGATTGAGTTTCTGCAGCGCCAACTTGTGCCGGTAGACCAGACTCAACATTCCCTGGAGGTGACAAGTTATTGGTAATGGGCGGGGCAACAGGGGGGTCTACTACGGATGATACGGATTCCAATTGATCCAAATCTTTTTTATCAGCTGATCGTAGCAACATTTGGGGATTTGCTACGGTCGACAGCTGATTCGTCGTGGAGCTCTGTTTATTACTTTCGGGGGGTTGCGGGGTGTTTTCTTTAGACTGCCTGCCACCAGTGGCCTTTTTGCGCTTTAGAGACTCGTCAATTAGCTTAAGGCTATTAAATTGAGAGTCCAGCGCTGAGAGTAAATCATCCGCTCGGCGAAAACTATCTCTAGCAACACCAAAACTATTGATTAAACTCTTTAAGCCGCCTTTGGTTTGGCGCGTAAAAGATCTCATCTCTTGCGCAACTAGAAGACAAGGATCACAACAATAAAGTAAATTGTGACCCTTAGCCAGGTCATCACTGGTTCGGCCAGTATAGCCGGCACACTTGGTATGAGCCATTTTTTCACACAGCCAACAGGTCAGTTTTGACCAGAGCTTGCAAATAACTGTCAACCGATTTTCCTGAGGCAGTTTAATCTCGACAAAACCGAAAAAAATGTTGCTCACAAACTCTCTCTCTGAGCGGAACCCTTTTTTAGTTTTGCTTGTCGGTTTCGGTCCGACCGTTCGGCTCAACCGAACAAAGCAATCGGTCTTTCAATAACCACTCGGTGAGACCCTTTTAAGTTAACAGTCACCTAAAAGGGTTTCTGAAAGACTACTGTTAAATAAAAAGTCAAAAAAATGGGTTTTCTCTAGAAAGGAAAAGGTATAGGCCTGCTGTGATATGTGCATAAATTTTACATAGGAAATCAAGATAATTCTAAAATTGCATTGTACATATAAATGTATATAAAATTGTATTCTGAATATAGGTTAGCTGCTATTTTTTTGTTTGCTTCAATATATTAATTGACTATATAAGGAACTATCTTTAATAAGAAATGCCATAAAGAAACGAATTACCTTTCAAATGAGCTATACCATAAGAATAAATGAGAACTACCATAAGTCTTAAGATAAAAAATGGCTCAAAGTATTCCAACTAAGCCTATTCCTACAAAATGGATCCCGCGTTCCTTCAAATCTTTCGAAATATTTTGAATAAAACTGAATAATGTTGTGAAGATATTCTTAAATAGTTAGGAATTGATTTAAAGCTACATAAACAAAATTTGAAACTGCTAAAGGAGGTTTAACCTGTTAAAAAGCTCTAATTTTTCTTGCAGCTTAAAAGATTCGCTTGTTATTACGTGGATTTGTGGAGTTAAGTGGAGTTTTGGAATCGTAAATTATTTAAAATATGTAGAATATTGGAATTTAATGGTAAATGGGCTAATCTTACAGATTCAGCTTTAGGAAGTACACATTACGTATTTTTCCTTACCCTTTTGAATTTTAATAATCAAAAAGCAATGTTACGACTGAAGCATTACTGAACAGGTCACACATACACACTCATACATTCACAAAAGACCGTTTTCCTTAACAGACCGAGCAAAGTAGTCAGTAGAAACCGAAACCGAAATAACTCTGAAAAAAAGGGTTTTGCTCTGAGCGTAACATCTGTTAAGCAAAAACCCTTTTAAGGGGTTAGCTCACACCCAGTTGTCATAGGGTTTTTTGTGACAGGTTTTTTCCTAACACTTTGAAAAGGTTGACCGAACCTTGCAAGCTCTGGTTTTGACTGATCAGCTCTGATTAATTGATGGCAGTTATTAATAGAGCAGACAAAAGTATCCATAATTGTAAATATTTTGCCCACTGTACCAAACAGAAATGTAGGGACCGAAATTTGCGAACGAGCAGTTAAAAGTACCGCAAGAGCACCGACTCCGCACGCTTTAAATTTCGAGAGAGGGAAAAGTAGAGAGAGAATGCGAGAGTGCGGGAGAGCGGGAGCGTAATGCAGTTAATGCGAATGCAGAAAACAACAACACAAACTGCACTGTAGCTTTTACTGACACCGCACAAAGGAAAGGCAAAAGAAATCACAAAAACAAAAAACACAGAACACAATATTAAAATTGGAAATTGTTTTAATAAGATTGTGCACTAGGGCGGTCCACATTTGTATGGACATTTTTAAGGTGCTACTCTCACCCGCTTATACGGTGCGCAATGTGGTATTCAAGGTATACCAAAAGAAATTTTTATAAAAAATCGTGTTTTAGGGTCTGCGAATTGGTTTCAAAGTTTATCACCCATACGCACTGTTGCCTTTGATCAAAAAGTTTTTCTGATCAAGGTGGCATAGATATCAACAATTCAGTTGTTGTTTTGCTCTCATTTTTTTTAACCAATTATTCCACCGAAATTCATAATTTGACAAGACAAGAAATGGGAGAACGATTTCGTTCGACCAAATTCGAACTATTATACATGTCGTATGAGTAATTTTAAAGCAAACTTTGAAGACGTTTCGCAAGATCTAAATCTCGAAAAAAAATTTTTTGTTTTTACAAAGAAAAGAATTTCATTTTTTGGACCGCCCTATTGTGCACAGAATAGAGTAAATTCACTCGCGAAATATAAGAAGTAATATGATAAATCAAATTAGGGACCGAATATTTAAGTTTTAAACACGAAAACAAATAAAAATTCGGAGCCCGAAAAAAACACAACCGTTCACTTTGGAAGTCAACAGTGGAATGAATTACTTGGTAAGAGATTTAAAACATTAGTATATTAACTGTTACCAAATTAAACAAGAGAGAACGCTATACTCGGGTTGGTGTCCCGACTAATAATCGTAACTCGGCTAAAGGGAGTGCGAGGGAGATAGATATATATTGACAATTTTGAATGCGTATAACTTTTTAATGGATGGTCGGATTTGAAAAATCTCTTCTACATTTCAATAGATATAAATATACACAACAAAATTGCATTTAATCGTTAGTGTGCGATTGTGGGCGTTAGAGGGGGCGTGGCGCTTGGCTGAAATAAACTTGCGCTGCGTAGGAAGCCAAAGAATATGTGTGGAAAATCCCAACCTTCTAGCTTTTGTAGTTTCTGAGATCTCAGCGTTCATACAGACGGACAGACGGACATGGCTAGATCGACTCGGCTAGTGACCCTGATCAAGAATATATATACTTTATGGGGTCGGAAACGCTTCCTTCTAGCTGTTACATACTTTTGCACGAATACAATATACCCTTTTACTCTACGAGTAACGGGTATAAAAAGAATCAGCTTAATGTAACAGTCAGAAAAAAGTTATTATTTTTTCCCGAAACATCCCATTTTGTGTAAGTTGGGACACTTTGAGCGTGTAAGTTGAGACACCCGTTTTTCATACAAAAAGGCCTTAGGCCAACAGAGGTCGCTTTCTGCCTAGTACATTTCTTTGATATTAGGGGAAAAGTGAATGTTCAAAGAGCTTTTTGATTTTAATTGTTATTTGGTCTAAGTTCTTAAAAAATGGATGGGAAATAATTTAGGACGAACTAAAATTGATTAAATCAGCGGTCGGCACACACATACGTTGACATTTCCATTTGTGTGAGTAATTTGCACTGCCCAGTCGGAAGTTTGGGAGTGGTCGGTTTTCGGAATGCATCCGGCTCGCATCTTTGTCCACAGTAAAAATGCGATACAATGTTGGACAGCATCCAGAATGTATTCTAGATGCAACCCAAGTCATCACTCCCCTAAAGGTTCTTTTGGAAGGCAAAATGGGAGCGATCCGTGCAATCGTAGCTTCTCGTACGTCGCAGCCGAACCCTTGCCGAAACCCGAACGCTTGCCGATCGTTCGTTTTTTTTTTCAATCGGTGCAATTATAGCATCCATCGGAATGCATCCGGAGTGCATCCATTGGAAAGGAAAATATGAAATAATAAACTTTGAAACGGTACTTTTGAAAAAAACAAATGAGAAGAACAAAAGAGACATTGCAAGAACGCGCGCGGTTTTTTCGTTTCTTATGCATTTCTTGTCACTTGCTTTTTGGAATTTGACCAGTTAAGTGTAATTGATTTTTCGGTTAAACCAATTTTAATCGTTTTGTTTGTTTATAGTTCTTGAAAAACAAACCTTTGTGCTTTTTTGTGCCAAGTAAGTATAGTGCGGTGATAAGTGGAAATATTAAATAAAAAATAATACCTCTTAACGAGGTAAAATAACCATAACCAAATAAAAGTGTATTTTTTTATCCAAACAAAAATAATTGGGTGTGTGTTAGAGCCCTGCATGAATGGATCCAATGAATTATTTTGAATTTTTTTTTGTTATATGAATGAATTAATTAGAATTTTTGAGTTTAATAGAATTGAATGAATTTGAATTTTGAGTTTAATAGAATTGAATGAATGAATGGCATGAATTCCGAAATAATTCAAACGACAATTTATTTTGAAGAAGAAAGGGCCATAATTTTGTGATTAAATCTGCCTGAATTTTATTTACTATGCAGTTAACATTGATTTGTTAAAAATTTTCCACTTTTTGTTCTCAAAAGAAAACACAAAAAAAATCTGGAAAATTCAAAAAATTCATAAAATAATTCATTCAATTCATTCAATTCGAAATGAATTAGAACAACATTCAATTTATTTCACATAGAATTGAATTAAACAAATCAGAAATTTCATGGCATACCATGATAAAACAAAAATTGAATGATTCATGCAGGGCTCTAGTGTGTGTTTAATAAACAGCGTGCTTTTAAAATAATTCTTATTCGGCCACTGCATCGCGTTGTTTAAGGTTTTTACCTATGCACAGTGTTTGTACATACAGTGAACCCCACGCATAGTCGGACACCCATTTTTGTTCTATCATAAAACTGCTCTAAAATCATACAAAAAAAAGTGAAACACAATTTTTTGGCTTTTATTTAAATTTTTTTTTATTTAAAACACGTGTAAAAAATCAATAAAAATCAATTATAAGTTGTGTTTTAAATATGGAGGTTTTTTGTTTTTCTTAAAATATTAAGAGCTGCCAGTGGAAAGCTTAAATTATTTTTTATGTTACTAATGAATAACATTTTAATGTTTAAATAAAGCAGTTTTATGTTAGAAAAAACGGGTGCCCGATTATGCGTGGGGTTCACTGTACCTGCAGTGTGCCGAATGAGAATTTTTCACAACATTGTACTAACTAACTATTGTTTTTATTCTTTGCATGACCTCATGGACGGATTTTTGATAACGGAAGAACAACAACATCAACAACTGTAAGTATTAAATTTAATTTTAGTTTTTGTGTAACAAAAGTGCCGTTTTGGTTTCAATTGTAGGCAAAAGGAAGGGTTCTCCACATTTGCTGCGTTGAACGAAGCTCTGTACGGTAAGTATTAAAGATTGTTGCTGTTAATTTGGCAATTTCGTCGAACAAAATTTTAAAACTCTATATTTTGCAGAATCCCAGAAGAGGGAAGGGTATAGGCAGGAGGACTTTGTTAAAGACCTGCGAACAGCCTTTACTCGGCAAAAAAAACCGGGTGTATAAGGAGTCTACACGCAGAAAGGCGACGACCAGTGCAGACAAAGGACCGGACAAGGACAACGAGATGGAAGACGATACTGAGGATGATGGGAAAGCAGTAGCAGTGTTATTGTATTCATTTTTTTTATTAATTAATTTAAATTACAAAATAAAATTAAATCAAGAAATGTGAAATTTAAAAAAATCAAGTAGACCAATTTTTTTCACTCGTGAAAGCCGCATTTTAAAGCACTCCAAGGGATGCGATCCAGAACGCATCTTTTGGAATGCATCCAAAAGCAATCCAAAAGATGCGATCCAGAACGCATCTTTTGGATTGCATCCAGAAGCACATCAAAGATGCGATCCAGAACGCATCTTTTGGAACGCATTCAGAAGCATTCCAAAAGATGCGTTCTGGATCGCATCTTTTGGAAGGGAAAAATGGAAACCAATCCCGAACGTTTCCCGAAGTCGAAACCCATGGCCGATGCATGAAAAGGGAGCGCTCCAGGAGCGCTCCAGGAGCGCTTCATCGGATAGCACCCATTTTGTCCCGCTTTGCTGTAAAAAGGAAGCGAGAAGTTCATCGATCGGGCATGCATGCATCGGTGCTTTGGATGCTATCCATCATCCCTTCTGGATGCGTTCCACTTCCGACTGGGTGGGCAGCTCATCGATGTGTGTCTGCAGACCGCTGTTCTACGTTATACGTGCGCGCCGGCAGAAAAAACCCTATGCTCACTTAATAGGGCGCTGCCGACCGCTGTATTAAATTAACATAATTAAATAGTTCCTTATAGTTTGGAGTACTTTTTGTGTGAGTATTATCAAATAAAAACACCTCTTAACGAGGTAAAAAACTAGTGACGATCGCACCTTCAACATACAAAAGTTCTGATATCAACATTTGTGACGAAAAATTATTACACTCGTCATTAAATAGACTTTCTAATATTTTCTCATTCGGCCCGCCCTAGCAAACTATTCCAGTCTTTTTCCCTTCACAGGCATTTTCTATTGCAGCGTGCAGCGAGTTTTTCCAAAAGTGGTAAAACAAAAGTTTTTTATATCGATGTGATGAACGTCATTTCAAATTTTCAAAACTTAAAAAACATGTTTTGGACAAACTGACAAACTGACAAACTGACAAACTGACAAACAGAATTAAATTTTCATTTTGGGAAGACGAAGAAAATCTTATTTTGGCTATAACTTTTGACAAATGACCCCTCATTCGACGGGTATTTTTAAAAGGAATACAATTAAAACATTGCGAGGGGGCATTTATCCCCACCGGCCCCAACAGCTCCAAATTTCGAAATTTTCACTTTTTTACTTTCACCGCTCTCTCTCCCAAGCCAATTGATTTTCTTAGAGTCTTGGTATGCAATCCTGTTAGTTTTTGCAATACCTTTCGATAGGTGTATCATTCATTATGATCGGACCATCACAGTAGATTTTCATTTCTTCGTGTATATATAGTAGTCGCCTTCGCACACTCTCCTGGTGCGCTTCGTCACTACATGGACTGCCGTCCATAGTGATTGACTTTTAAAAGTGTCTCAACTTACAGACCTCTTTTTCAAAATGTCGTTTTTGGGACTTTTCAAAAAAAATAATTTTTCAGTTTTCCCTAAGCAAAAAAAAAATTTTTTTTTGTTTTTTATTAATGTAATAGACTAACCTCTCGATCAGTACCAAATGCGTAAAGTTTCATAAGAGAATGTCGAAATGGCAGATTAAAAGCAAAAGGTGTACCAACATACAGACCTCTCCCCTATTCATGCACGCACGCGTTAGACCCCTAGGCTACCAATAAAGGAAATTTTCTTCGATTAATGCCGATTTTTTCTTATGCTTAAAAAAATGTTTTTATAAGAAGGCAAATACGGTTAAATTTTTTACTTTCCTGAAAAATATTTCTTAAAATCACACATTTCTTTCTAAATGTTAGAAAAATGTTAGAAAAACATTTTTTTTCTGTTCTTAGAAAAACAATATTTTGATTATGTAGAAATATTTATAATTTTAATGGCATTTTTTTTATACCCGTTACTCGTAGAGTAAAAGGGTATATTAGATACCCTTTAGCTGAGTAACGGGTATCTTATAGTCGGGGCACCCGACTATAGCGTTCTCTCTTGTTTTTTTTTAGAAAAGTTCAGTCTTTTTTTTTCTAAAATCAATGGCGATTTTAACCCTCAAATAAAGAAAGAAAGATTAGAAAAATAAACCTTATAATGAAAAAAAAATTTTTAAATTGAATTTAAAGGTAAAGACTTAGTTAAATTAACTCTTGAATTTATATTTTTACAATAAGATTTCAATTCCCTGTGCTTTGCCACAAACGGAAAAAAGTCCAGAGTAAACGAAGAGGGCCTGACATTTTTACAATATCTACATAGTGTAACAATAAATGGTGTTTCGGTTTAAGCGTATCTTGAAATAATGTTGTATACGCATTTTTGTGATTAGTTATATATTTTTCCAATTGAATAATTTCAATTGTTTTGTACTCTCGAGCCGACATTTTTAATTTAAACTTTTTTAGGTGATTCAAGCTTATCGGCCCTGTTCTAGTTTTCACTTCCGAAAGTTTCACACGGATTCGAATTTCCCAGACCTGTTCCAAGACTCACTTCCGAAAGAACTGCACGGAATCGAATTTCCCTCTGTTGTTACTCTGTTAACTTCCGAAAAATTCACACGGAAACTTTCCGCCAAGCATATGACAGGCGGATTTAAATTCGGCAGTATAAAAATGAATTCTTTAAATATACTTCGCGATAGCTTTATGAGTCAATAATATTTTTATGCTATTCCTTGATGTTTTATGTTCCTAATTGCATCATCGGAATAGAAATTATTTGCATATATGACTTATTAATAATTATTTTGTGGTTGCACCTTAAAACCCGGTAAATTCTAGCTATGACAATTAATGCAAATCCGCCGCCCTTGTTCTAAATTCCGCTCGGATTTGGTAAAAATGGCTAAGAGTTGTCACGGTATGGATATAAGTTAGAATTTCCTTGGGACTTATTCTAAACTTATCCGATAAGGTTAATGGTTCTTTTATAAGAAAGATAATTTATCCTAATTAACGAAATAAGTGTTTTGGCTCGGAATACCACATTTTTTCATGTGAAATTTGAACGGGGACATTTGATAGGGACTTTGTTTTTCGACTTTGGCATCTCTGTATGCTCTTGCAGTTTGCAATACTATGATTCCCACACTGATTTTTAATACTATTCTGTCGGGAGCCTTTCAAAACTGCGCAGGGACCAATGGGAAATTTTATAAAATGTCCCTAGCAAGAAAGGGAAATTTAGTTCTGTTAAAGGGAAATCCGATAATGTTAACAAATTCACTTCCGAGTGAAAACTGGAACAGGCCTGTATATCTGGGCATATATTTCCTATTTCCGTTTCACCATAGTTGAACATTTTTTTGCGCATATTAAAAAGGTCTAAGTCAAAAACTTGTTCGTTAATAAAATGAAGAAGTATATGGGAAAGGTCATAATTCAGTATTCCCTCAAAAATATTATGTAGAATGTCTACAGAGTAATTATTAAATATGGAGTTCTCATGAACGCCAGACATTGCCACATTACATTCCCTGGTATCTTCTGTATAGTTAGCTTTCGTTCTCAAATCTGAAGGTTTTACAATGAAAGAATGTTGAGTCTCCTCTTTGGACATCTTGCAGAACCTGCAAAAGTAGTTGCTAGCAAACGATCTTGAAAAACCGAGAACAGAGTTCAGACCCGAATTTTCTCCAATTATAAGACCCAAACTGAAATATATTCCGGTATTTCCGTTTGTGGTTGTTATATTGATGCTATTGCATGAAGATCATTCAAAATTTCAATAAATTAAAAAAAAAAACACGACTATTTCCGAATTTTTTAACTTGTTTGGTTTCGAATAACGCAGCGATGAAAATTTCTTTTAAATGTACTGGAGCTGTTGGTAATGAGAAATAACAACCTAGAAGCGGCATTGAATGGCTTCCTAATGGGTTATTTGTCTCGAAATCATCAAAATACAAAAACAAGGGAAATCTAATGGAATTGCTATCATTTTCATTGAATCTCCTTTTCCAAATATTTCCCTTTAAAATATTTACCTTTGACAAAAAATCGTTTAACACATTTGGAAGCTCAAAGTATTTCTTTAGATAACATTTTATAGGGAATATTACTCCCTTGCTAAGTTTTGAGTTAAGTCCGAACATATTTTTTTCTTTTTGGTTGAATTGTGTTATTAATCGTTATTATCGGCCCTGTTCTAGTTTTCACTTTCGAAAGCTTCACACGGATTCGAATTTCCCAGACCTGTTCTAAGACTCACTTCCGAAAGAACTGTTAACTTCCGAAAAATTCACACGGAAACTTTCCGCCAAGCATATGACAGGCGGATTTAAATTCGGCAGTATACAAACTAATTATTTAAATAAACTCCGCGATAGCTTTGTTATTTGTTTATTTAAAGCAATGTACTGCTCGATAGACTTAATATAATATACATCATAAATTTAAAAAACAAACAATAATTTTATTGTAACGTAGGAGAACTTATTAAGTCGATGAAAAAAGGAACGTAATGACTTTTAGCGAATTAGCCTTGGCAGAGCACTCATATGATATGAGGTGATAAAGTTCATTATAGGCTCATTCCACGTGAAACGTGACAGGCCAATTTGGGTCAAATCTCAGAATCAATCGAAACTTTTTTTTTCGATAGAGGATTGAAATATGAGGATCGGTTTTTTTTTTTTTTTTTTTTAACTCTTACCGTTTATATTAAAAAAATAATTTTCTAATTAAGCTCCGATTTTTCAGTTATGCATCACTTGAGACTCGTTTGAGTTATTTCAATATTTGGTATGCAACTTTGTGGGATATGTCCATGTCTTTCAGAAAAATAATTTAAAAAATTTTTAATTTTAAAATTAAGTATTTTTTAAGAGAATTTAAATTTAAAAAAATTCTGTACGCCGCAATACACGCGGTTTCCAAATAAAAAAATTATCCTCATATTGCTTCATCAATTCTTCACGAAGTGGTAAAATAAAATTTTTGTATTTGCAAGACCTACTCGTAAAGACAACGATTTTAG